CTGTCTTCAAGAATCATTGACTTTCATCACTCTACCACTGGCAGCCATACTTCAGTTGATACAATCCTAAAGCTCTAAAATTACTTCTAAAAATCTCTCCACCTCATTTTTCACCTTTAGGACACACCTTAAAACACACTTTGACCAAACTTTTCATCTACCCCAAGATTGTCCCAAGTGGTTCAGTGCTGAATTCTGCCTTTATGACCATGGGAACTATTAATAATTAAAAGTAGCTTAAAAATACATTCAAATGCAAAACTTTCATGCTAGAAACACCCATAGGTCTATCAGCATCTGTGGGAAGAAAATGTCAATGTTTCAGGCCTAACCTTTCATCAGAACTAGGAAATTGGAAATGTAATAATAGCTCTTATGAAGGTGTAATGGGGGAAAAGGGTGGAATAAAAAAAAAGGAAAAAGATCCAGCCTAAAGAACAAGTCAGGACATTAAATGACAAAGCCAAGGGAGTAGGTGAAAGTATTTGGAGAAGGAAAATTGAGAAGCACTGCTCTGATCAGCACCAAGATCAGTTCAGCAAACTCTGTGGACACAGACAACTGAACTGCCTTCCCAGTCTTGCCCATTGCCATAACACCCACTTTATTGGGTCTGTCTCTGTCTGTACATGGGTAGTGGGAGAGTTTAAAAGTGGGCTGGAGTTTTAACTAGCAGAGTTATACATCGACAGTTCATAACTGTTTCTAATAAATAGTAATTCTTGTCAAGTACAGAAATTAGGTCTATTCTTTCTGCCACAATGGGTCTGAAAGACAGGTAAATTGGGGAATTCTTTTTCAAATCTTTATCTATCCCGATTAACTCCCGGAAAAGCACAGCTTGACTTCCAGCATGCTACCCCAATGAGGAATAACACAAGCCAGAGTTTTGCTCTCTCCCTCTCTGCTTCTGTTGCATCTTCACAGCAAAGTTTGTCAATTTCTAGCAGCTTTGTATTTTGTGGGATGAGATACTTCAACATGATCTGGTTTGTGGTAACCCCTCTGACTAATACCAAGTTGATCTTTTTTCAATAATCAGGAGGGTTCTTAAGATGCTTTCTCTGCTCTCCTTGAGATCAGATGTCAATCTTAAGTTGTAAAGAGACGACTAGCTTTGGAAGCCAACTACTTATTAAATGTAGTGTCCAGACCAGTGGAGCTGATCTTGCATGACCACAACTATGATGCTAGAGGAATTAATTCTGGTGAAGATGCTGAAGTTTGTTCATCTGTCTGCCAATTTGACTTTGTGTATCATGCGGAGACGTCACTGGCAGAGATTTCCCAGCAGCTACAAGTGCCTTTGGTAGGTGCTTTGCTGCCACTTGGAAGAGTGATGACACCAGTAGCATCATAGACTAAGTATTTGTCCTGTTACGCCTGTTGTTGAAAACCCCATTTTTCAATTTTTATAAGGTTGTACTGTAAAAGCTGTTTCTTTCCTGTCTCTCCTCTTTGATAGTGACCTTTTCAAATAGGTAGCAGCTGCGAGAATAGAAGTATTCAACAACTTCAAAGGCTTCCCCATCACCAGTAATAGCTTAAGATGTAAGCATTTGCCAAGCTGAAGGAGGAGTAGCTTGATCTTGCTATTGTTATGAGCGATCAACCCTTTCCTATGTGTTGAAGATGGTCTGAATGTTTTATGAATGTATGGATTAGAAGCAACAGTAGGCCACTCAGTCCTTGATTCTGCATTGCCAATCAATAAGATAGTCGGTTGATCTGTTTACTTAATATTGCCACTGATCCATGGTGACATTTCATCCAATGGCATATCAAGAATCTATCCCGGCCACAAAAATATTCAAAAGTCTGCTTCCACTGCCTTTTGAGGAAGATAGCTCCAAAGTCTCACGACTCTGGGAAAAGACTTCTACTCAATTGTCTTAAATAGGTAATTCCCTAGTTCTAGTTTTTCCCAAAAGAGAAAACAATCTTTCCACATCTAACCTTTTCCTAAATCCAGCAGCTCAAGCTTGTTTGAACAGACCTCTCCTAATGTGACAGACCAACAGTTACAGGTATTAATCAGTTAAATCTTCTTTGAACCACTTCCAAAGCATTTACCTTCTTCCTTAAATAAAACAGACCGACCCTACACAATATTCAAGGTAACAGTCCAGATGTGGTCTCACCAATGCCCTAAGCAACTGAAGCATAACCTTCCAACTTTTATAATCTATTCCTCTCTCAATTACCAATAACATTCTATCAGCTTTCCTGCAGCTGCACCTGCATATTAACCTTTCGCGATTCATGCACCAGGTTACTCCGATATAAATAATTCTGAGCCCTCCAATGTTTCACCATTTAGAGAACCATATTATTTTTTTCTGCCCAAATAGAAAATTTCACATTTTCCCACTTATACTCCATGTGCCAGATCTTTGCCTACAAGCTTTATCTATATGCCTTATCTTCCTACCTTTGTGTCATCAGCAAATTTACCAACTGGACCTTTTTCCCTTTCATCCAAATTAAGTACGTAAATTTGGAAAGGGTGAGACCCTAGCACTGATCCCTACGGCACACCACAAATATCTTGCCTACTCTTCCCTGTTACCTAATGTTCTACCCAGGTCAATCTTTTATGCTGTACAAATTGAGCTCTTATTATCTGTAATAACCTTTGATTCGGCATCTTATCACATGCTTTCTAGAAAACAAAGTGTAATATATCCATGTCCCCTTTAACGACACCACACTTTACTTCTTTAAGGAACTCCAGTAGGTTGAATAATCATGATTTCCCTTTGACAAAACCATGTTGATTCTGCCTGATTACCTTGAACCTAAGTGCCCCGTCAATAATGTCTTTAACAACAGCTGTCATAGGGAAGATATTAGAAAATGTTAAGCTAACTGGCATTGCTATGTGGGCCACAATTGTGCAGCCATCAGTATACTCTAAGCCATGGATATGTTGAGATTATAATATGGGGGTTACCAAAGGCTCTTAGCCTGGAGAGATTGAAAATCTTCCTGTACAGTCTAAACCTAATCATCGCCTGTTGTAGAAGCTGGTCATGAATGAATCCCTAACTAAGCTGAATTAGATAGCGAACAGACTTAGCACATTGTCTCGATTGACTCTTGTCTGGATATAAAAGGACACACTTACTAATCCATTGGGAAGGATGGATACTGTCATTGTCACAGATGAATCACAAAAAGCGACAAACTTTGTTGAACAACAAAGTCACTGGAGGACTTTCCAAATGGCTTCATGATTCATGGCAAAAGTCTTTGACAGATCAATAAAGCTTATGTAAACCTCTTTGTATTGTTGCGCACAAATTTTTAGGATTTACTGAGTGCCAAAGATAGCGTTTTGAGGTTACCTTGGAAGGTTGAAAACTGCTTTGAATCTCTGGAAAAATGTTACTGACGTACATGTAATGGTTCAGGATGATTCATGTGACAATTTTCTATTTAGTATATTGAAAATATGTAAACAGATGTTTGTTGTTCACATTACAATTTCATCTATACTGGGGAGACCAAATGTTTTTTGAGCAACTACTTTGTGGAACTCTTTACTTCAAGCAAGCATAACTGAGCTTTTGATAGTATGTCATTTTAATTCTCCAGTTTGCCCTCATGCTTACAGTACTGCCTTCGGCCTACTACAGCGTTCCAGTGGAACTCGGAGCAAGCAAGACGATCAGCATCTCTTTCAGTCAGGCACCGTAAGCCTTCTGGGTTCAACACTGGGATTTGAAAATTTTCAGACCATGACCTCTTGTCCAAACAATTCCCCTTGTATTTTCTAAGTTTCTAATATCTCCCTGACATTCTCAGGCAACTTACGTTCTCAGAATCCAGGAAAGAAACAGCAGCTATTGGCAGTAAGATCTGTGGTTCAGCACACAGCAACACATGAAGGCTCTCACTTAGATCAAAAATGCTGAATTCATGTGGAGCTCTAAACATATTGAAAGAATGGGCTTGCTTGGCACAACAGGAAAAATATCAGAAATGTAGCTCACTGACAAAGAAAGTCTTGAGTTTAACAGTTCCCAGGCTGAGAAAGAATTAGAAGTAAACTTTCAGAAGCTAAAAATCACTGGACTCGTTCTGGAAGAATTGAATATATACTTAAAGAGTATACTTACAAAAGGATATCTGTAAACAGTGTTTTGGGTTGGCATAAAAGATCACTTTTCTACAAAGATTTATCAATATTGTCAATAATCTTTACTTAAGTAATGGTCTTAAATGTGAAATCTTATGTCATCATTTACGTTATTAACTGGAAGTTTCCGTTTGCCTTTAAGAGTCATCAACCTCTCAAGAAAATCATAATGCCATGCTAAAAAGAAACAAGTATGGTTAAGTAATGAGGTGCCACATTTTTGGCTTGCTATTAAAAAAAACTCAAAGTCTTCATACTGCAGTCACCAGTGGTGACTAATAAGATTATAAACGTTTTGCATTGAATAAAAAAACACATTCAAATGATCTCCACTGCTCACAGCGGTGTTTCAGGTAAAAGCAGAAAGGCTAAGAGGTGAAACAATTTCTAAGTTATGAGTTTTATCCATAGTAGCTACAGCAATTCAAGTCATCCTAAGAAGATGTGGCATTAACAACAGTGCTACTTAAAAAAAAAATGTCAGTATAGCAAATGTAAGTTTAACGATATACCACAATTTCAATGGATTTTAGAACAAGCCTTTGAACTTTCCATCTAGTCTTTCACATGAATCAGAACTGCAAAGTCAAGGTTATTTGTCACATTGAGGACTATAAATAGCATGGCAAATTCATTCTTTTGCAACGCAAGTTCTCAAAGCCTACATGCTTACAAAAATAAAACTACACTCATTAACATGACAACTATTGATAGCAACTGAAAGTGTGGGAATCAGCATGCAATATGCCAAAGTGACCTTTCCTTGGCAACTCATTTTCAGTCCTTACAAAAAAAGTGTTACGTTCTGGACATTTCACAGGCTTTTCTATTAAAAGCATTATTTACGATATACATACGTATACTACATAGTCCCCTACCAACATACCACACTTACCAGAAAACAAAGCTGTGGCCAGTTGTGAATAAAATATCTATATGTATATATGGAATAAGGTTCAGACAAATCTTTCGTGATCAATCTCATTATATCTGGCATTTGCAACTCTGACTCATAGCCAACATATCGTATCCTGTCGTTCGAGTCGGGCTCTTGTTGCGGGTGCAAACTACAAGCAGCTATCGAGGCGGCCAGGCGGTATTGCTCATCGTCATCTGGGCCGATACCAATCCGATCGAGTCCATCTCTGGGGTTGAGTGTGTCAGGCCCGGCCGCCTCAGCAGTCCTTTGACTCGCATGATTCACGTTGGGACTCTCACAATATTTGCCGTCGGCTTTCCTCCTGCCTCCTTCGGACAGTGACAGTCCTGAGTGAAACTCGACGGCAGTGGCGGCCTCAGCGCAGGATAGGCGGCCTTTGCACTCCGCCTTGTAGTGGAGCTCAGGGTTTATAACACAGCCGTTGAGCAGCCGCTGCTGCTGTTGCTGGTGGTGGTGGTGATGGTGGTGGTGATGGTGGTGAAGGTGCAGGACGCCCTTCTTGGCTCGGTTAGGCTCCGGGTAGTTTCCGACACTGTTCGCCGAATGTGGTCCGCCTTCCCCGCCGCGTTCCTGGCCAGCCCCGTCCACAGCAGTCGCTTCCTCCTCCTCCTGCTCGCCGCCCCCTCCTGGCTGCGGTCCCGGGACCTTGCCGTACACTCCCGAGTGGTTGAGAGTAGCGGAGAGGGGCGAGATGTCAGTGGGGGCTGGGGACAGCACGCTAGGCCCAGGCGGTACATCAGACATCCTAAAGAGCGGAGAAACGCAGCGTCGGCATGAGGGCCAAAAGCAGCGGGAGGGAGAAAGTGATCTAACCGGGAGAACGGGGCGGGAGGGGGGTTAACCAGGAGGGGACTCACCGCCCGCCCTCAGCACTCACACATCCCACAGCCGACCGGACCACACCAGGCCAGGCTGCACAGGACCGGGACCTGTCAAGCAGAGTCCGACATCCACACAGTCAGGCAGGGTGGAAGCGTGCGGGAGGAAGCAGGAGAGGGGGAGAGAGATCAACTCGTTGCCGAAGTGGGGAAGCCGGCCACTGGCTGCTCCGACATACAGCCAGCCACTCGAGGCCGTTTCCACTCTCAACCTAGGCACTGCCGTAAAGTGAAGCTGCCGCGCGGCCCCGCCGCCTCCGTGTACGTCATAACCGTCGTAAATGCGGCTTCCCGTCTCGCCCCGAAGTTGTTTTTACGACGTTGACCTTTGACCGACGCCGGTTGAGCGTCAGGAAGGACGATTTGACGTGAGGTTGCGGTGGATGGCCTTTGCTTTCATGGGGAGAAAATAGGAGTTTGTGTAGTTTTGAGTAAATATCATTGAGCTAAATGCAACCTTAGTCTTTCCCTCCTTGATGAGTGTTTATGCTTTTTGTTTCTGTTTTCTGTGTGAGTTTGGCCTCTGGAAACTGTTTAAATCATTCCCTTGCTGCAAGTGCCGTATTGTGACTTCTGAGCCTTTGCTTTCTTCATATTGCCGTTTGTGAGTTGAGCTATTGTGTCTTCTGTCAGTCTCAAGTCCAAAGTTAGAATATACTTGATTTTAGTGAAACACGTGTTTTATTATTTGCGATAACAAGGTGTAGAGCTGGATGAACATAGCAGGCCAAGCAGCATCAGAAGAGCAGGAAAGCTGACGTTTCGGGTCGAGACCCTTCTTCATTTTGCTCTCTTTTTAAATGTTATCTTTAAGTGTATATTTTCACAGCTATTGTAGCTGAAGCTGAGTGACTGTCAAATATAAAAGGGACTGGCTTAAAATGAATGTTGCTCCAGAACGGATCCTTTTCCAAACACAGTAATACAACGTGCACATCGGATTTCATCGGCAGTTCTTACTATCTCTCAGTGTAAACCCCAGGTGTTTTTGTCGCATCCTCAATTGGTGTTGAAAGTATCAGCCCAATTGTGTAAAACAGTGAAAGGTGCTGGATATGCGGATGCGGGATGACCACTGTGACCTGAAAAAAAGTGGTCTTGACACCGATTCACCGGAATTAAAACATTCGCTGTTCCTGAAACGTGGGATGCAAGCTTGCAGGATTTCATCCAAAGGCGCCCTCTCTGCTAAACGTTCACGATAAATGTGTTAAGTGCTGAATTAAAACAATGGAAGGATGAATTTCTGTGGATTATGCTCATATCCCACTGGGTAACATCGTGGCCTAATTAAAATTTAAAATCTATATCCAGTAAAGTTTAAATGAGTGCAGATTTACAGACGCCATTTCACAGTGAAACACATCTTTCCAAAATGCACTTATTTATAGGAAACCGTAAGAAAATGTTGTATATACACCACAGGCCAGAGATAGAGATGGTTCTCGACCTGAGGTGTTAAACTGTTTTGGCATTTGTGGAGAAAACACTGAAGTTCAAATGGGATACATTTTTTTCAGGGCTGAAAAATTTGATTGAGCAAACACGCTAATTAGGAGAAGGCCATTCAACCTCTCAAGCCTGCTGTATCATTCAAATACATTTCAAGGAGAAATAACCCTAATGGAGACTAATTGGTTACAGGGAGAGTATTGCTATCTTTCATCTGCTTTTGTTATTCCATAATTGATTTTTCAGAGATTTCTAAAGTTTTTTTTAGATGATAAGACTACAGATAACAGGAAATGCATAGTTCCCCTGTTAGCTGCATTCCACAAGAATAAACAATGCACCCTGAGGGAATAATTTGCTTTTTAAAAATGTAGGTCAACAAGTATGCCATCAAATGATTTTTACAAAGTAAGCACAGTCCACGTGTTTATACTTTCTTAGTAACTGGTTGCTAGCTTTCTGTGGCCACTGTCTCAGGTTCAACTGGACTGTGTTTATGTTGCTTCAAATTTGCTCTTGAGCTGAGCTCCTGACCCCATATTGACTTCGTCACAAAGACTGTTTAATTTCACCTCCGTAACATCAATCAGCTGTATTCCTGTGCCCATTGCAGCCATTCTCCTGATCTGTAATGTGTGACTCTTCCTTTAAACTTTAATTCTTCTTGCGGTATACTTCAATAAAATTCCTTCTCTTTCTCCTTATGCCCTGATGTGTCTTTGCTATTTAATATCTGTTCCTTTATCTAACTTTGCTTCTATCCAGGTGTTGCAAAAATCTATTATGCCTTTGGGCCTGGCCTCCAACTTAAACCAATTCAATGATCTCGTGGTCAGTCATCCATTCTCTGCCTTATATAAACTTTAGCTCATCTGAAACATGACTGCCTAGGTTCTGTTCAGCCATTTCTCCTGTGCCTGCTTACGTACATTGATGTTTCATTTCCTGATATTTCTATAACATCCTACAGCACTAGATTCTGTTCAGCCATTACTCCTGTGCCTGCTTACGTACATTATTTCATTTCCTGATATTTCTATAACATCCTACAGCTCAGGAATCCTTCAAGAATTGCACATTACTCTTTAGTACCTCTGTTGTGCATCTCTTGTCACCTCAATTGCATCATTGTTCACTCTATCTTTCTAGATCCTGCACACAGGACTTCCTTCCCTAAATCTCTTTGTCTTTTCACATCCTGTATTAAAATCTATCTTATTGATTATGCAGCACCACTTTTAATGTCATGATTTTCCTTCTCTCTATTTTTTGCCTAACATAAGCAAATTCAGTTACTTGAGCTACTTGTCAATATATAAGACTTGAAACTCTGAGCCATTCTTCACTCTCTTCATATGGCTATTTTTGATAGTAAATTGATTTCTATATATTTTCTATATTTATCTGTCTAGACTTTTGTGAAGCAGTTTGGTTTGTTTCTCTATGGTGAAGATGAAATATAAATGAAAGTTGTCTTATTTTCTCCATTATAGAATAAATGGAACTCATTAAAGCAGAAAGAAGAACTCGAAGTTTCGGTTGACAAAATATCGAAATCCAGTTGATGTTAGTAATGATCAAAACAAACAGGTTATGCTATATTTAGAATCAAAATATTAGAAGCCCCATAAGATGCTTTCAGCTTAGGTTTCCAATGCACAATCAAAAATAACCATACATAAAGAAGAGAGTTAAGAATGGCTCAGGATTTCAATTCTGGTATAGTGAAGCAGCTCAACTATCTAAACTTGCTTATCTTAGGCAAAAAAAGTGACAATGAAAATCACGAAATTATTTAAAATGATGAATAATAATTTTTGAAGTGAAGTTCTTATTTTTCAGTTGTTCCATTTATTGTTTGGTCCATTAATTACTTTGATCCATTCTCAAACTATCCAACGATGTATTGTTTTGGTGTTCAGTAATTTCTGCTCAGTTTATCTCACCTCAACTGCCGGAGCTCAATCCCATTCCAATGCTAACCTTGATATTTGCCAGCGGACTAATAATTTGCTTTTCAGAAACGCCTTTGGTGCCATAGAGCCATGGGCTTCTGACCACCTATCCATACCCATGTACTGTTCTGCTACCTACAATTTTGCCAGCTCTTGAACTGTCTATTTTGTGCCCTACTCCATGACGTTCTGTTTCAGCAGTTTCATCTATTAAGTAGTCCTGTTCTCACTGGCTTTCCCTCATGTCCTATTTGCTGTGTAGTTCACGCTGTCTCTGTTCTTCCATGGGTGCTTGTATCTGTTTTAGCCCCAATTCTCTATTCTGTATTCTTGTGCCCATTGCAGCCATTCTCTTAGTCTGTAGTCTGTGACTCTTCCTTTCAACTTTAACTCTTCTTGCAGTATACCTCAATAAAATTCCTTCTCTTTCTCCTTATGCCCTGATGTCTCTTTGCTATTTAATATCTGTTCCTTTATCTAACTTTGCTTCTATCCATTTATATTCCTTTCAGACAGCAGCACTGTACTAGATGACACTACTTCTATAAACTCTTCCACTTCATGTTAAAATGAACGCAGCTGATGTTACTACTGCACAAGTCAGATCCTAGACTGAAATCTGGCTTGAAAGATCATATTTTGGTTTTAACAAGATGTTCTTTCATGGAAACACAAGCATGCAATACTGCACATTTGATTTTAACAATAAAATAGGAGTATTTATGCAAAGGAAATGAAGATAGTATAAATCAATCTCTCACTGAAGAGAAATCCCTTCCGTAGCACATCCATAGGGCTTAAGAAAATCGTGGGTTCAATTCCCTGTCCTCAGAATCTGATAGCTTCTTTGTTGACTCTTCACAAAACTTAGCTTAGACTTTCTGATAACCTCTTCAGGGTTTTAAATTAATGTTTCTGGTCTGAAACCTAAAAACTAAACTCTTCACATTCAGATAGTTTAGAACTGTTAAGAAATAAGCTATTTTTCTTTATCAGGAGAAACGGCCTTATACATCCAACTTAAACCAAAACTTCTCCAAACCTTGAATTGAAACTAAAAAAGATTTTCCAAGGAAAGAAAATACAGTTTCCAGAATCTTCTAACTGAAGCTTAATGCACTGAACAATTTATTCTGTGCTCATATAATTCTCCCAATGGAACCAAGTTCCCACTAGCTTCCAAGAGCTCTCTCTAATACTGTTTTTTTTCAAAGAATCATCATGGCTACAGAAATGTTTAAATGTTAATCATTATAGGTCTTCACACACACAAATCTTACTCAAAGTTTAGAATAGTTGGTGTAAAGGTAGATCAAAATGAAGAAAATGGGATCTGTTCCATTGGGGATCTACAACTGAACTGTACAGGAACTGTTGTATTTGGGAAGTTATGAATTGAGGAAAGAGGAAAGGCAACAAAGGAAGGAATTGATGTGGGAAATGATAAACAAACAATGACAGGAAAGGACAGAGTGCAGATCCAAGAGCAGATTAGCAGCTAAGACTGGAGATAATAACAGGACAAGACTTAAAACGCTGTATTTCAATGCACGTATCATTCGCAATAAAACAGACGAACTAGTACAAATTGAGACATGTACAATCCAGCAGTCATAATTGAGATGTGGTTGCAGGATGACCTGGAGTGGGACCTGAATATTGAAGGCTGTATGACATTTAGGAAGTTAGGAAATAACTTGAAAAAGATGATATTAACACAATAGAGAGGGATGACTTAAGTTCAGGAAATTAGTATATAGAAGTAATCTGGATAGAGATGAGGAATGATAAAGACAAGAGGTGTCTTGTGATAGTTGTGTACAGTCCCCATAACAGTAGCCACAGGATGGGACAGGGTATCAAGGAAGAAATAATAGAGGAGCTTGTCAAA